GGGAGTTTTATCTAGTTTTTTATGAGGTACTTTGTTCAACACATAAGTAGCTGAGAGAATGGCCTCCCCCCACATATTATCAGGCAATCCAGAACTAATCAACATCGCATTCATCATTTCCTTAAGGGTTCTATTTTTGTTGGGGAGTATAGGGAGCAGAAAGTTCATGGATAATTCCGTTTGCCGCCTCTACTTACAGTATTCTTAAAGTCAGCTAAGTCCGTATGAACCAATTCAAGCAATTCAGTTTGTCTACTAATAACAGATTTGAATGGTTTCTTGGAATGTTTAGCTTCAACACAGATTCCACATTTTTGACCATTACAGACTAGACTAGAAATTAAAGACATGTTTTACAAGCGTTTCTTGGAACCATAATTTATATGTCGTAATCTAGCATGCCAAAGATCAAAAGTCTCAACAATATAAGCAGAAGTAGAAGCTTTATTAATAAATACAGTTTCTAAAATAAATAGCCTACCCGACAGATATCCCTTCCCCACAAATTCCCCATTACGAGATAACACTAACTTATCGCTTTCAAAAACAAGTTTCACACCAGCCTTGTTTATAAGTGCACCAGAAATTAAATTTCTACGAAGGGAAGGGACATACAACACATTTTGCAAAGACAAAGATTACAGAATTTAATTTAAGGAGAATTTTTACTTTACCGAGAACTTCGAAACTGCTAGAATTGCCAATGAACACCCGATCAGCTTTGGCAAACTCATGGAACTCAGTAAAAAGGTCTTTGTCCGAACAGAAATTCTTGGTGGCTCCGGTGTCAACGACCCATTCTGCTTTGTTGCCGACAAGGTTGATTTCAGAAACTACGGCAGTAATGACATCATCAGATTCTTCAGCAATATGGGCTTGGTTCTTGTTCTGGTCTGATTTCTGCCCATTGTTAGATGTATCTTTGCGGTTGTAGCATTGCCATGCCTTGTGGCCTTGCTTTCCACAGACATAACATCCACCATTACCCTTCTCAGATTTGTGGTTTTTCTTGAAGTTATTGTTCCTTTTGTTTTGAACTCCAAGCGGTTTCTAATTTTGGTTCTTCTTGGAATTTGGAGCAGCTTTGTTTTGTTTGTTAAACCTGTAATGTTTTGGAACAGAAGATTCCACAATGTTAGCTTTAACAGAAAGTTCATAAGGGGAAGAATCTTTATCCTTACGGCGGTTGGCTTCTTCAATATTCATATGACCGACTAGCTCCTCAAGTGACACATCCTTCTTCTTGTGTTTGAGATGGTTGCGGTAGTTGGACCACGAATCAGGGAGCTTCCCGATCAGAACGTTGGCTTGCAGCACCTCAAACATCTTCATACCCTCAGCCAGAATGTTAGCTACCTGGTTCTCGTACTCATGAACTTGCTCCATGATCGGCTTGTCATCTACAATCTAGAATTTCAGCCACTTGCCCGTTGCAATTACTTCTTCTTTCCCGCATCATCATTCCCATATTTCTTCTCAAGAGTCTCCCAAACAGATTTGGCAGATTTGTTGTTGATGAAGAGATCGAACAGCGGGTTGGACATGTGACTTAGAAGATGACCTCGAACGAACTTTTTATGCTTCTCATATTTAGCGATTTGTTCGTCTATGGTAGAAGATGAAGAAACAGAGGTATCTCCGGCTTGAGGGCGAACCGGACACTCACGAACAAGAACATTCGACCTCCAATTGTTCGAATAAGATTAACAGTTTTTGAGACCAACGTTTGTAGTTAGTCCCATCAAGGGGTTCAAGTTTAGAGAGATCGGGTAGGGTTTTTGTGATTGAAAAATCCATGATCTGAAATTACAGTAGAAAATTTTGCTTCTAAATTATAGGTTGAGATACTGTAAAATCAGAAAATAAAGATTGGAATGTGGGCCGAATTTCTTAATGTATGTATAACGCTGTGACGTGTTAGATTCACTGTCTTAGAAGCAAAATTCGCTTCGACTATGATGCAATCAGAGATGGCGTTGCCCCCCAAGATTTAACACAGTGATCTCCCTTAATGTGCACTCAAAAAGAGAGATTAGGAACTCACAATATGCTCAGAACAACTTTAGAGGAAAATTGAAAATAATAGAGGAAGAAGCAGAAAAGAGTTTTTGGGTATTTCAAAAGCCACGAAATGATCAGTTTATAAGGATGAGGAAAACCGTAACTGTTGAAGAGAATCAAGCCACGAAATAATAGTGGAGAAAAATCAGCGACAGTTACAAACGTTTAAAAAAACAAAAAGGTAGACACACCACATCGCGCACATGCCACGAACCGAACCGGCCGGACAGCGGCGACGCGCACGTGAGGATGCCACCTTCTAGCCCACAACAATAGGTAAACACTTCAAACATCAAAGTATAAACACACATATTTAAACCAAGTAAAATTTACTTCTCCCATCAATGTGAGACAAAACCCCTTTTCTTCCAATATATAAATCAAGTAAAGTCTTCCTTATTCCACCAATGTGGGACAAAGAGTTTTCCTCCAAAACAAATAAAAGCTTCCTTAGCATTATTTCCAACATGGCGTTGGCTGGTATTTTATTGATCATTGGTCTTGTATTTTCGCGCGGCTTCATTGCATCTGTTCTTTGTTCTGCTGCCTTTTTTCTGCATGCTAAGCTTGTTTCTGCTTGATTTCTTGATGCCCATTTTTAGATTCAGGTATGATATTACCCTAATTTGATTAAATATGTTGATTTATGTTTGTTAATTTTGAAGGTTGACTCTATAGAATGAATATGAAATGGCCCATGATTTGGAAATTGATTATGATTATGGTGTTGAATTAGCTTACCTTTAATTTTTGAATTTACTATGCTTTGTCATTGATTTCAACTTGTTATTAGGGTTTAATTTTATACAATTTGTTTTGGATTGGTGGGTAAATTTCTTGTAACGTAAATAGTATAGTGCTTAGGTGTTTGGTTCATCAAATTGGAATAGATTGGTATGAAATATCATATTAGAGAGGTATGAATTTTAAAACCCATACTACTCCAAAGTTGTTTGGTTTTACTATTGGAATGGATTATATTCTTCGTTAATAGAATGGATTGTGAATCCATTCCAACCCATTCCAAATGATCCAACCAAACAACCTTATTTCTTTGATCTTCACAAAAATAATGATATTTTAAAGTTATTTCCACAAATTAGCCTCCCCTTTTGCCATTTCTTGTTTTACATATTAAAGTACTTTTTTATTTTGATGAAAGGACATATTAAAGTACTTAATTTAGGTCATCAAGTTTTTTTTTATAAAAATTGATGCTACGGGATCAATATTAGGACTTGGGTATCGCCCCAACTACGGAAGATTTAACCCGACTAAGCTAGTTGACATCTAAGCCTTGGACGTAAATTGTAAAGTATAATATTCACAGAGCATGATTGATTTCTATCCTTTTTTGTATTGAACCAGCCAAACGGAGGTATAATTAGATTCGTACAATAAACCAGTTGGGAAGCTCTAGGAAAAAGGCAGAAAATAAGTTAGGGAAAGGAAAATTTAGAAATCTATAAACCCAGGGGAATGGATTATGTGAAGAGTTTATCTTAAGCTTTACTCAGCTTTGGGAGAGTGTCAAATCTCTGGAATATTATACTTTACAATTTATGTCTATCTTTATTTTTCTGTAATCTCTGCATTATCAGTTAAAATCACCATTTTCAGTTCTTTGTCATTTCCTTCAATATGATGATTCATAGCATGCTCCCTTCTAATATAATGGTGCTTAGATTTTAAGCTAACAGGCATTTTTGTTTACTATTCCGTAATTTCTTTGTTTAGCTGAGTACTTAAAATCTATTACTTGACATTACTTAAAAGGTTATAGATTTACTGTTGTTGACATTATATCATACATGATCTGCAGGTCTGCAAGATGCCTGATTTCTCTGGGAATGACTCTGGACTAAAACGTGGCTCAATTTGTTTTCATTAGTGTAATTTGGGTGGTCTGTTGTTGCAGAACAGTTGCTACTAACAATGCAAAATGCTGCATGAAGATATGCATGTCATGGTCAATGTTTATACAATACTTAATGTAAACTTGCATCCTCTACAGATGTATTGATGCACTCATGAATTCTCTGTATGCAGTTTGTGGTGAGTTCAGGGTTAAAGTCGCGAACCTCTCATTATACTGTCTATCTCGAATTCTCGATGCACTTGTGAATATTCTATATGCAAATTTTTGGTGGGTTCAGGGTTAAAATCAAGGCAAATATGTAAATTATACTGCCCATCCTCTCGTTTGCTCCCTCACACTTGTGTCCACATGATATTCCTCTGCAATGATTTTTCCACATCAGGATATCCTCCAGTTGCCCAGGAAGCTAGTCATTTGTCTGTGCTGATGGCAAGGGTCGTACATGAGAAAATGTTGAATCTTCTTTTGAGGAATCTTAGTGTGGATGACTTATACAACTCGAATCAAATTCCAACTGTAGAACTAAATTGGGTCAACGTGCGTAGCGATGTTAAGGAAAGGCAACCAGAAACCAAAAGTAACCATTAGCAAATCATTGCCAGTGATACATTAACAGAAAATCTTAAGTTAAATTCGGACGAATCTGTTGAAATAATTGATAGCAGTAGAATCATAACAGGAATAACATTGGCGATGATACTCTAGTATATTGTATCCGGTTTTTTTAGTGACTTGAGCTCAAGGTTTTGCCAATGCTTTGTTGGACTTACAGGAACTGGCAAGCATTTCATTTCCTTGAAGATTCAACAATAGGAATTGTCAACCCAGCATCACAGCCTAGCCTCTTCTAACTGCTGGGGAAGTCTCATACATATTGCGACTTCTGCTCTATGCTGCAGCGTCCTTGAAAGGTATGTCGTGTGTAGTTACTTTCATGTATATAAAATACTACATAAGAATTTTTTTTAAAAAATATTGTTATGTCAACTCTATAATAAAGCTCTGGATAGGACAGATTAACTTAATTGGCATCTTTTTTATAAATAAGTTTATACTGTATAATCAATGTATTATAGGGACTTAGGGATTTGAATTACAACAAAGTATACATATTTATAAAATGGCGCACAGCACACCTAGGTGTATAAATAGGAATTCAATACATTTTCTTGGGTATTCAACACTTTACCAATTTAGTTGGCATTTTGACATATATAAAGTATCAACACACTGTACACTATTGGTGTAGTAACGCTTGATTTTATTCCTTCCAACCAATATAATATGCCGACTTATAAAAACACTTATTATTACATGTTAAAAGCACACATGCTTTGACCTTTATCTTATTCACTTATTGCCCATTGCCTCAACAACCATCTTAAGAGAGAAAGAGAGGGCGGTGAAAGAGTTCAGAGTCTACATGCCATCACCAGGCAAGTTGAAGGCAGTGTAAAAGTATACCAACCTAGTACCGACACCCACAATATGTTTTAGATCAAGAGGGCCATAGTCCATAATGTTTTCAGGAGGACATGGAGATGGAAAGATAACCTTTTGGTCATAGGAATTTGCAAAATAGGATTCTGCAAAATAGTCTTCACAACTGCCTTCGTAGTAAACCATAGTCCATCTTGTAGGTCTATATTCTAGTTCTTTATCGCTTAATGTGGGGATTGCGACCTCCATAACTCTCCAATTTTTGCAGTCAAAATATATGTTTTCATGATCGTTTGATGAACATAGAAGTGTTATTTGCGGAAGTGTTGACGACTTAGCTGGCTCGATTGAACTCAAAGGTATAACTATGTCTGGAGGCCCGGAAGGGGGCCAGTTGCTACGCTCATAATCCAGGTTGACACTTATTATCACTGGAGATATGCTAATCCACATTTTCTCTGCCATTTTGGAAAAAAAATCCGAAGTACTGCTTAACCCACTCCTACTAAACACATATAATTCGAGTTCCTCCTTGAAATTATGAGCCTCCTCATCCCTCTTGTTCTTATAATCTTCCAAATGCTGCAATAGGGTTTCTTCACTCTTCTTCAACTCTTCCTGATTTTTGAACTCTGCCTCCTCCAACTCGTCTTTATGCACTTGCTCCATTTTCTCAATCTCCTCTCGTTTTCCCTTCGATTCCTCCTCTATGTTGCACTTTGTGTCCCTTAACTCCTCTTTCAATTTCTCTATCTCCTGTTGTTTCTCCCTCAATATCTCTTCATTTTTATCCTCCACCGTCTCTAGCTCCGCTTCATGCATACCCTTCTCCTCTTCCCATTCCCTCTCTTTCTCCACTATTCTCATCTTGTACTCGTTTTCATCTCGGTTGCCATCCCTCCAAAATTCTATATCATCTTGTTTCTTCATCAACTCTTGCTGCCTTCTGCGCTCCACCTCGTTCACCTCCTCTTGATGCATACACTTCAATTTTTCTATCTCCTCGACTTTCTCCATCAATTCTTCTCCCTTTCTTTGCTCCAAGGCATCTAACTCCTCCTTGTTCGCACGCTTCAACTCAATTATCTCATCATCTTTCATCTTCAACTCTTCCTGTTTTCTAATCTCTATTTCTTCCAATACCTCTTGATGTCCTCTCTTCATTTTCTCCATCTCCTCTACTTTCTCCTTCAATTCCTCCTCTCTTTTACCTTCTACAACCTCAAACTCCGCTTTCATTCTATCAATCTCCATTCTTTTCTTCCTTAATCCCACCTCCATTTGGTACTCCACCTGATCCACCCGCGCTTCATAGTTTTTCTTCTCCTCCCCCCATTCCTTCTCCTTCTCCCTCAACTCCACCTTATACTCGCCGGCATCACCACTGCCATCCCCTTTCATCGATTCTACTATATCCAAGGGACGGCCATACACAATATCTCTTCGAGCCCATCTAGTTGTCAGCGATGTTTTCACCCCATACTTAGACCAATCATAGAGATCAAACAACCTATAGTACTCCATTTGCATCTCAGTAGCTGCGGATGCACTGGTTGGTAAGAAACAAAGGCCCTCACGGTTAACCATCAGCCCGGAGTTGTAAAGATCATTGGTTAGTGTCTGCAAATGATCACCCCAAATCTCTTTGTCCCCGATCTTCAACGCTTCATATTTGTTCCCGGCCTTTATATTGAGATCATAAATGTAGTTCCAGTGCTTACTTTTCACCGGTAACATGTAAAGACTATCCAACTCATACACTTGAATCCCGTCGCCTGAGTTGTATGATCCGACGAAAAACTTGTCTGACTTCATTGTGTAAGCTTCCATTTTCAATTTATAGATTAGAGGTAGGTATCTATTTATGCTTTGGGAAGCATATATTTATAGGGAACTATAACTATAACTAAGTTGCATTGTAATTTTAGAGAAGTACTTGATAATATTTAATCCATCCATTTGGTTTTGTTTATGTTTATATTGAGGCGGCTTGTATTGCCAAGTTGATTTATTTGACAATTTATGTTCATAATAAGTTAGCAAAGCTCGTTGACAAATGTCAGTGGTTGAATCTAGAAAACAGACATTTTTTGACATAATCTAATAATTTTACTAGAAAAAGGCTCATAACCGAACCCAATATCCAAACAAAATTTTTAAATGGTACAATATGCTATCCACCTCAAATAGATATTTTATACTTTTCTGTTTCAAAATAGTTGATACTTAAAAAAAAAATTAGTTGAGTGGTCTTTGACACTATTTACAAATTATATTTTGACTAAATTTTGTGATTTATAAATAAGATTTTTTGACACTTATCATCTACAATAGTTGCTCTTTTAGGAATATCCACCTACACATTTTTTTTTTTTTAAATTTTACCACCTACTATTTTTTAAAACGTCAAAACTTCCCACCTACTTGGTTCTGAACTGAAGTGTGATGTCATGTGGGGCCCACTAACTACCTTCTCACCCTATTTCCCTCTTTTTCTTTCTTTTTCTCTCGATTTCTCATTCCCCGACATTGTACTCCTCTCATGGGGAAAAACTTCAAATTAAATTGCATATTCATGTTAATTATTTCACGAATTGCAGTTTTTCCCCAATTTTGATAGGAGTATAATACAAGGGAATAACAATCGAGTGAGAAAGAAAGAAAGGGAGGGAAAAATGGTGGGAAGGTAGTTAGTGGGCCCCACATGATGTCACATTTAAGTTAGAGAGCTAAGTATTTTAAAAAAAAAAAAAAGTTGAGAGCCAAGTAGGTGGGAAGTTTTGATGAAAAAATAGTAGGTGGTAAAATTCAAAAAAAAAAAAAAAAAAAACTGCAGGTGGTAATTGCTAAAATAGCAACAACTGTAGGTGGTAATTGTCAGTATATCCTTATAGATACGAAAACAATAATTATCAAGGATCTTGTTTAATTCCTCTCAATGTGTATTTTCAAAATATGTCAACTCTTTATAAGTTTTTTCTTTAATTTTTTTTTTTTGTTGTTGATATTAGAGATTTTTACAATGAATATATGCATTAGAAAATGTAATAACAGAAACGTATCAACTAATTTAGAACTGAGAATATATATAATTTTTAGTTTCGTTTTGTCCAAATATATTTGCTAATGCAAAACTTAAACAATTAATATCCTTAATTTTTTTAATTTTGTAGTAGGATAAATTATAAAAGGCTAAGGCTATACAATCAAATATCATATCATATCATATCATTAATAAATAAAGCCGGTCTCGCAGCCAAGTCACGAGACAACGACAATTGACATTTCAGTTTTTTGCCAAGTATCTCGCCACGTAGGAGATAAATAGGTATTATTATGACACGTATGATGCTAAGTAAGCGAATTTTGCAAAGATTTTTTAAGATAAAAATGTTATATAGAGTTTTATTATCGATAGAATTCTAATACTTCATATATACGAAATTAATCATAACTTTTTATAAATATCTTATAACTCGGTTCTATTTCCATCATCAAATTCATTTTAAAAATTTCTTTAAAATAAGATCCATCTATAATATATTTAAAATAATAGAGAATTAGTAAAAATAAGTTTTAATCGGTAAAAGTACTTTCAGTTTAGTAAAAATATTTAAGTATGATATCGCATGTCTAAATATTCAGCATTATCAAAAGTGAGTATATGACCGTATATAACATTCAAGCCAAAAGTTTTATCTTAAAATTTAATAAACAACCTGGGCCGAGACACAAAACTAGTATATATATAAAGGGGAGCTTTTTCCCAAGTTTTTAGAGAGTTACGTAGGATTTTAATTTTTTTAAAAAAAATAATAGAGCGCCATGTAGGATTTGTATTTTTAGAGCGTTACGTGTAGGATTATGACACGTAAGATTATTATTTTAAAGCGCCACGTAGGATTAAAATAAAAAGTTTAAATTCATCATAAAAATAAAATATTATCTTTTTAAATTGAAATTTTTATCTAAGATAAAAGAAAAAAATTATTTTATTTTGTATATATAAAAAAATACTATTAAACTTAATCATTGAAATCTACGTTTAATTGATATTAAAAAAAATTGAATTAGATAAAAAAATAATGGAATATGAGAAGTTATTATAATAAAATATTTTATAAAAAAAAAATTCATAAAAAATATGAAATTATGTTCAATTAAAAAAAATAAGAGTTTTGGATTAGATACAAAAAATAAGACAAAAATATTGAAACTAAAAGTATATCTTTTCTCGTTCTCTAGCAAAAAAAAAAAAAAGAAAAAAAATGTTCATCATTTATCATTTATTCGGCTAAAATATTAAGTTCTACGTTAACAAAAATTTATCATATCTAATAATAAACTTTATCATCACTTTAAATTAAATATTTTTTCAATCCTATATAAACTCATCTAATATCCCACACAAATAAACATAAAACTTTTACAGGAAAAGAAGCATATTTAGAATTTTATTCTTGAATACGATGAATGGTGATCATAATTAATATGAGATAAAAAGGAAAAAAAAAAGAGCAAAAGAAAAAAAAAATTGTTTCAATGTTGAAGTGTTCTAATTAAAGTTTACTCAAGAAAAAAAAAATCAAGTTCAAAAGGAAAAAAAAAATGAGTAAGTTTTAATTTTGCAAGGATGTTAATTTTGCAAAGGGGTAGGTTTAATTATGCAACTTATGAGGCACGATCAACTATTGATTTATAAAGAATGATGGAAGCTTATTAGAAGATCATATTTTCACCGTGTACACAATTTGAAAAAAAAGTTGGTTAAACAAAAACATATAGGTTTACATGTTTTACTTTCTTAGCTTTCTATTTTCCTTTAAGAGTTGGTTTGTATTGTTGTTTAAACAAAAATTTTACAAAATATACAATGTTTATGTATGTGTGAACCTTAATTGTATAAAATTAAAAACAAATAGTAATATTATTAGGCCTATACAATATTATCCGAGAATCCGAAAATCCGATCCGCAACCGATCTGAATTTATGTATATCCGATCCGAGTTTTCATTTTGGATCGGATATACGATCCGAAAAAACGGATATCGGATGCGGATTTAGATATTGACTTTCAAAATTTCGGATATCTGATATTCGAAATATAAAGGCTGAAATAGTGAAATATATATAAAATTTTTAAATTGTTCATATAAAACTGACCCTGTACTATTAACTTATTATAATATTCTTAATATATTTGATGATAAGTTTTATTGCAAAAAGACTATTATTTTGTTAAAATATGTTGTACAACTTAGCAATAAAAAAGTGGTAAAATTAATGAAATTTAGAAAGTAATCATACTCAATTTTACTTAATATTGGATAATGGATATCCGAAGCATTCGATCCGAAAATCGCATTTCAAATCGGATATCCGATCTGTGAACAGGCCTAAATATTATGTATTAATGTTTTGTTATTACGATTGAATATTAAATGTTAAATTTAACTATTAATGAAGATCCGTGCATCGCACGGGCTTAAATCTAGTATAAGGCATAAAAAAGCCGCACAATGAAAATGACATACTAGTAAATATATAAGACTATGCAGTAGTTTTACAATGTCTCATCCTCATCCTCATCTCTCAATTTTTCGTTGCATTTGTCATTATGACGGCCGTGATTTGAACATATGTCCAAAATACGGCAATGCATAAGGTCTCTATGAGCCCATCTAGGAGGAAGTAGAAATGGAGGAAAGTTATGCACTTGGTAATGCATAACATTGAAAGCGGGGTGGGTAAATAACGACTGGGACCTAAAAAAACCAGAACGGGTTCAGAAAAAGTGGAAAAAAAAGAGAGAATTGCAAGTATTTGCTGAAAGCATAGAATACTTGTGTATGTAGAGTACACGTTTAGCCAAAAACACTTTATGAGTTCCCCACTTAGCTTTTGTTCCTTCTTTCTTCAAATTTGCTCTAATTTTTCCCTCAATTTTTTGAAAAATTGAAATCAAAATTCTTTATGGTTCGAAATGGCAAGGAAAATGTTAGTGATGGATGATCCATTCTTACAAAATTGTATATAGAATGAATCTGGTTTAGGAGATTGACATTGGGTTACGGGTGGAACCGAGGCTGAGGTCGAACTCGGGAAAGAGGTTAGACCCGAGAACGAGGATGTTGGTTTGGATGTCGGAGATTCAGTGGAGGAAGTCGTGGATGGCGAAGACGATGCTTGTGCAGCAACACTTGAAGCATTGCTAAAGGAGGTAAATTTCACGACTGTTGTTTGATTTTTTTTCCTCTTAAGTATTTCTATTTCGCTTTTTTTTACCTGTATATTTGGTCGAGGTGTTTGTATGTAGGGTTTCAATTTCGAATTTTTGAAATTAGGGGTTTTATTTTTATTCAATTTGTTTGAAATTAGGGGTTTCATTTTTATGCAATCTTGAAATTATTGTTGTAACATGCAAATCTGTATAAAGCATTGTGGTGGGGATTATGTGTTGTTGAGATGTGTATGCTATTTTTTTAAACATGGTGGTGGGTCTTATATATGGGAATTTCAGGTTGTTAATTAGATATAATAATGCATTAATTTTTGGTTGATTAACCTATTTGGTTGTTGAAATGTATGTCTTAGTTGTTGGGATCTGTTTTCTATTTTTTAATCATGGTTGGTTGGCATTACTGATATAATAATCATGCCAATAATTATTGTATTCACTTTACTTAATTGTTGTATCGAATCAAGGTGAATGTTGGGGAGGAGTCCTATAAACTCCTACAAAAGGAAAGAGTAATGTGGCTATTAGTGTGGAGATTGAAGAGTTTGCGAATGTGGAGGTTTCACTTCCACCCCCCCCCCCCTTGGTTGTGGGAATGGTCTTTGATAGTTGGCAAAAAATTGACGAGTACTTTAGGAATTATG